CCCAGCTACAACCCCCTGGCCGTGGAGCAGCTCGACCGCCTGGTGGAAGGCTACACGCACGGACGAAAGTTGGCTGACCTGGTCGCCGATCCCTTGCTGCCAGTGACCACTCCTGAATCCGAGCAAGAGGAAGAAGAGGGCGAGAACTAGAAGAACTAGAGTAGGATTTTTAGGGCTCAAACTGTTAGTAGACAGTTCGTTTTGTAAGAGCTCAGACCATTGTACAATTTTTGCTTGAATGAAATGAAGAACTTTTCCTTTGTTCCATACTTAGCCGCATTTGTAAAACTTCTCGTCATAACTTTAAGATACATCAGTTCGGCCCATCGCCGACCTAAATGAGCTATCCCCTATAACAAAATAACTTATTAACGAAAAACATCAATATTCATAAAAGTCTTGACCTTGAAACGAGCTATCATGCGCGATTTTAACGAAAGATCCTCAAGTTGGAGTTGTGCCAGGTACGAGGGACCTCCTTCCCGCCGAGGTGGGCTAACTTGCAGTACCCAGCTCGATCTGCCTCTTTCACCACATAGGGACCCTCCCAGTTTGGATCCAGCTTGCCTATGCCCTGAAGCCGACTTACACTGTTCTTCCTCAAAACCAGGTCCCCTGGCTTAAAAGACAGAGGCCTTACCCTAGCATTGTAGTGTCGCGCGATCTGCCCTTTATACTTAGCCATACATATAGCCGCCTCTTCTCTCCTTGCTTCCAACAGGTCCAAGTTAAGACGTAACTCTTCCTCATTGTCCCGAACTATGAAATTCTGAACCCTACCCGAAGGAACTCCTATCTCCGCAGGGATCACCGCCTCTGCTCCGTAGGTCAGAACAAAAGGAGTCTCCTGGGTAGCAGTTCGGGGAGTGGTTCGGTAAGCCCACAGTATGGTTGGCAGCTCTTCCAACCACCCAATTCGAGCAAACTCCATTCGTGTCTTCAAGCCGTGCAGGATGGTTCTGTTGATGTTCTCCACCTGGCCATTGGCTTGAGGGTGGCCTACCGAAGTGAAGTGCTGCCGGATCCCGAGCTCCGAACACCAGCCTTGAAGAGCACTATCAGTGAATTGGCGTCCGTTATCTGAGACCAGGACACAGGGTATACCAAATCGGCAAACGATGTTTTTCCAGAGGAACTTTTGCACCGACCTGCTGCTAATGGTAATAAGGGGCTCGGCCTCCACCCAGTTGGTGAAATAATCTACAGCCACCACTACATGCTCATAACCCCCCGGAGCTCGGGGAAAAGGATCTAACAGGTCGATTCCCCATTGGAAAAAGGGCCAAGGGCTCTGAAGATGCATCATCTCCTGGGTTGGGGCGTGATGGATCGGCGCGTGCATCTGGCAGGACTTACACCGAGCTACCAGCTCGGCTGAATCCGAGAACATGGTCGGCCAATAGTGCCCGGACAGCATTCCCTTCTTGGCCAAAACCCTTGGGCCGACGTGGTTTCCACAGATGCTCTCGTGCAGCTCACGCAGGATGTAGTCTCCCTCCTCCAGAGTGATGCACCTCAGCCACGGGCGTAGGTAAGATTTCTTGTAAAGTACCCCATTCGAGAGCTCGTACCCCCGCGACCTGAGGAGAACCCTCCGTGCCTCTACTCGGCTTGGAGGGAGCTCTCCACCAGCCAGGTACCGCACTATGGGATCCATCCACGAGCTTATTACCTGAATAACAGCTGCTTCGAGCTGGTCATACGCCCGATTTCTGACAACCTCCACCAGGACCTCTTTGTTCAACGTGCCGACCGAGGTGGAAGCTAGCTTGGACAGAGCATCCGCTCTCTTATTCTGGCTTCGCGGGACCTGCTTAAGCGTAAATGCCTTGAACTGGGTTCTCAGCTCATGTACCTTGGCGACGTATCTCCTTAAGGGCTCCTCTTTAACTTCGTAACTTCCCCCGACCTGGTTGACTATCAGCTGTGAGTCGCTGTAAACTTCTATTGACTCAGCCCCCAGCTTCAGGGCTATCATCATCCCCGCGATCAGAGCCTCATACTCGGACTCATTGTTGGAGGCTCTGAAATCAAATCTCAGGGCGTAGGCCAACTCATCCCCCAAGGGGCTTGTCAGGAGAAGTCCCGCTCCGCATCCGTCCTTGCTTGAAGATCCATCCACGAACAGTGTCCAGGTCGGGATGGTCTGATCGACCTGGCCCGTGGCCTGTTCAGCCTCAACAGCCTCTTTGACCTGTTCGGCCTTGGCTTCCTTTGTGGCCTGTCCGACCCCGGCAAGTCTCTCGACCTGCTTGGCCTCGACTGCGTCTATGATCTGTTCAGCCATGGAAGTCTGAGTGCCTTTCACGACCTCGGTAGCTTCCCCGACCTGCCTGGCCTCAGCTACGTCTTGGGTCGACTTGGTCTCGGCGGCCTGCGCGACCTCGACAGTTCCTCTGGCCTGCACAGCCTTGACTGCGCCACTGGTTAGCTCGGCTTGCAACTGTTCTTGCCCAAAGGAGATTCCTTCGGCTATGAAATCCGCCAATGCTTGAGCCTTAATGGCCGTGCGGGGTTGGTAGCTGAGATCGTATTCAGACAGCTCCACGGCCCACCTTACCATTCTTCCTGATACATCAGGCTTTGAGAGAATTTGCTTGAGAGGTTGGTCGGTCATGACCACCACGGGGTGAGTTTGCAAGTACGACCTGAACTTCCGGGTCGCGTGCACCAATGCTAGAATATACCGCTCAATTGAGGTGTACCGCTGCTCCGCCCCCTGCAAAGCTCGGCTGACATAGTATATGGGTTTCTGGATTTTACCTTCTTCCCGAACTAGTACCGCACTGATCGCCTCCTCCCCAACTGCTAGATAGATGAATAAGACTTCTCCTTGTGCGGGAGAGGTCAAAGCTGGCAAGCGTGCGATGTGGGCTTTGAGCTCGTCAAACGCGAGCTGGCACTCGGGAGTCCATTCGAACTGGGGACCTCTTCGCAGGGCCCTGAAGAAGGGGGAACCCCGAACGGCTGACTTCGACAGGAACCTGTTCAGGGCCGCCATCCTGCCAGCTAGCCGCTGGACCTCTTTTATGTTTCGGGGAGGAGCCATGTCCATGATAGCTTTCACCTTGTCGGGATTAGCTCTTACCCCGTCCTTGGATATCATGTACCCCAGAAACTTGCCCGACCTAACCCCGAAGGTGCACTTCTTGGGGTTCAGCCGCATTCGCGAGCTCCGTAGGACGTCAAAGATTTCTCTGAGGTCGTTGATGAACTGCTCCTGAGTTCGGCTTTTCACCAGCATGTCATCCACGTACACCTCCATATTTCGGCCGATCTGGTTTTTAAACAGCTTGTTGACCAGCCGTTGATAGGTCGCGCCTGCATTTTTCAATCCGAATGGCATAGTGGTATAACAATACGTACCGTATTGGAGCCAAGCTTTAGAATGGCTAGGTATTAGATGGAAAGAAAAACGCAGAGAACAAGCACTATAAAAAGCTTAGCCGTGAACTTTTCCTTTCATCTTTAGTTCCTCTTTGACTTTTCTTTTCGGTATTTTTTTGTCCTTTAGTAGCTTTGCTCCCTGCGCATGTCAGGGAGAATTAGGAATTAGCTATCACTTCTGGTAGTTTGTTTTTCTTATCGACTGGGACGAATTGAATCTTCTTAACTCTCGGAGACGATGGCCGAGACTCTTGTTTCATTTTGTGTGGATTTTGTTCATCAATTATGAACTAATTTCCTCACTCTAGTCAAGGACAACGGATGCTTTGGTCGCCTAAAATTGTGAGATCGATTTAATTTTATATTTTCTTTTTTATTTATTGGTATTCGCATATTTCCTGGTTACAGTGCTTATGATTGTTTAATTAATTGATTGTCTTGGGTCCGGATAATTAGTTAATTTGATAATCTATTGTCAATTGGGACGTTAAATCCGTAATTGTTTAATTGTCTCAAAAATAGTGATAACTGGCATGAGTGGGTTTGTGTCAGAGGAATATGCGGGCTAATCTGAAATAACCCTGGTAATGCGTTATTTGGTTAGAATAGGGCTCATCTAATACGTAAGGCAATTGGAGAATTAAATTCTATGGGCGTACTAGGATTATTTCTCAATTAGAGTAGTGATTAACGGGCGTACCTTAATCACCGACACAGTAAGGAGGGGTGACTGTCATCGCTTATTTGGTAGTTATAACCTATTTATTGATAAATAATTGAAAGTGCCTTTGTTTCGATGATCAATTAGGTGAACCATTGCTGAAGTTATTCCTTGGCTAGATCTTTGATTAATTTTACCTTGATTTTAGTAAATTGCCATTTGACTTTTAGTTGCCTATTTTATATTTATTTTAATTGTCTTCTTGTTCTAATTGTTTTGGATCATTAATTATTGTTACGTTAAGTTTAGTGAATTGCCGTTTAATTTCTAGTTAGTATTTATTTTATTTACTTATTGGAATTTATTTGATTGTCGTCGTTCCTACAAAATTACCCCCTTGTGTTACCTTGGATTTCTTAAAAATAAATATACCCAATTCCTGTGGATACGACCCTACTTGTCCTGTCTACAAATTCATAATTATTTGTGAGAAAAAATAACCATCCCATTCGGGTATATCCGATCAAGCAAACTCTTCGGGAACAGGGTGAATCAATAACCCATTGCACACCTAGAGTCCCTGCTCCAGTACTTGAAAATTGGATTTTGGTCATTTTAACTGGCAATTAGGTTTAATTTACTATTGTACAGGCCTCGACGCTCTGTCAATTTTTGGCGCCGGTTGCCGGGGACTGGCGTTATTATTTGTTTCTTTTAAATTCATTCTTGTTTTAATTTTCTAGTGCTTTTCTAGTGTATGCCTCGGTCTTCTCGTACAGGTGATTTGATTTTTGACCCTGAAGTAGAGAAGACTGCGCATAGAACGAGAAAGAAAACCAGACAGTTCAAAAAGGAGCACTCCAGTGCTGCATCTCAGAGACCTGAGCCAGAAGTTGAACCAATAGATTTGTTTGATGACACTTCAAGTGACTCTGACTAGGAGAAAGGAACCATGGCTAATGCACGAATATTAAGGGAGTTGGCTGCTCCTAACTTAAATCAGCAGCCTTTGTGCATTACTTTCCTAAATTTAGATGATAGCATTCCATTTGAATTAAAATCTGGCCTAATTCATCTTTTACCTTCCTTTCATGGTTTACCAGGTGAGGAGCCGTATAAGCATCTGCAGGAGTTTGATGTTGTGTGCAACAGTATGAAACACCGGAAATCACAGAAGAGCAAAAAAAATGAGGGCATTCCCCTTTTCCTTGAAGGATTCTGCAAAGGACTGGCTGTACTACCTGCCACCAGGTAGCATTACCACGTGGGACTAATTAAAGAAAAATTTTTTGGATAAATATTTTCCTGCGTCCAGGACTGCAAGTCTAAGGAAAGAAATTTGCGGGATCAAGCAGCACCCAGGGGAGTCACTCTATGAGTATTGGGAGCGATTCAAGAAGTTGTGCAACAAATGCCCTCAGCACCAGATAAGTGAGCAGTTGCTCATACAGTATTTTTATGAGGGCTTCTTTTCAGAGATAGGAGCATAATTGATGCTGCAAGTGGAGGGGCACTGGTGAACAAAACCCCTCGGAAAGCACGGGCGTTAATAAAGGGGATGGCAGAGAATTCGCAGCAATTTGGTACGAGGGAGGATGCTCCGATACGCAAAGTGAACGAGGTAGAGACATTCTCTATCCAGTAGCAGTTGACTGAATTGACTTCTTTTGTTAGACAACTGGCTATAGGAAATGCATATCAGGTCAAGGTGTGCGGGTTTTGCACTGGTATGGGTCATTCTACAGACATGTGCCCAATGATTTACGAAGAAAGTGCAGAGCAAGTGAACATGGCTGGTCACGCGTCCGCGCCAAGAAGGCCCTATGACCCCTATTCAAGTACCTACAACCCTGGTTGGAGGGACCACCCTAACCTCAGTTATGGAGGGAACAGGCAGACTAACTTCGTGCCAAATAAATAACAAGGGTACCAGCAGCAGAACCAACCTCGACCAGCTCCGCCCCCAAGCTCTGGTCCATTTTTGGAGGAAATGATGAAACAACTGATGGCAACCATTACGCAAAATCAGCAAAGGACGGACTCTGAAATGCAGGATATAAGGAATCAAATGAGTCAAATGGCCACAAAAATCAACCGTTTGGACTCCCAAGTAAATGGAAGATTGCCATCCCAACCTGAACTGAACCTGAAGAACGTAAGTGCAATGACTTTAACGAGTGGGAAGGAAATTCAGGGGCCCGAACTTGTGACTCCAAAGGATAAGGACGAAGAGAAGATTGAGAAAGAACTTCAAGCAGAGAATACAAGTACCAAAAATCCAGTGGTACTCCCTGATCCGATCATAGACGTTAAAACTAATCCCACTCCATTTCCTTGCAAGTTGGAGAAATCGAAGAAACAGGACAATGAGAAAGAGATCTTGGAGGTGTTCTGCAAGGTAGAGATCAATATTCCCTTACTAGACACCATCAAGCAAGTGCCGAAGTATGCAAAATTTCTGAGGGATCTATGTGTCAATCGAAAGAGGCTGAGGGAAGATGAAAGAGTTATTGTTGGGGAGAATGTGTCAGCAGTTCTCCAAAGAAAACTCCCACCAAAGTATGGGGATCCAGGTAGATTTACTGTCCCATATAAGATAGGTAATACTCTGATTAGGAATACCCTGCTGGATTTAGGAGTATCGATCAACGTAATGCCTAAATCTATGTATGCTTTTTTGAACCTCGGTCCATTAAAAAAATCGAGATAATAATTCAATTAGCTGACCGAACAAATGCATACCCTGATGGGTTGGTAGAGGATGTGCTGGTTAAAGTTAATGAATTGATATTCCCGGCTGACTTTTATGTACTTGACATGGATGATGATCATTCCCCTAACCCCTCACCTTTGCTACTAGGTAGACACTTTTTGAGCACAACACAGACAAAAATTGACGTTAATAAGGGTACATTGTCCATGAAATTTGATGAAGAACTAGTCCACTTTAATATTTTCGATACAATGGAACATCCTGTTAACTCTCACCCTGTGTTTGCTATTCATGCTATTAATCCCTCTGTGCAAGAATTTTCTGAATTTGCTTGTAGGGATAAATTCAAATTTATGAGAACAAGTATAAGGGGATGAAAGTATTGTATGAGGTGAAAAGGAGTAGAAAATTAAGAAAGAAAGCTGCACTCAAAGGCTATTTGGATCCTGGAGGAGGGCCACCGATTTCCAGGAAAATTGAGTTACACCCAAATTGAAGAGTGGTGTTCAATGTCTAGCCAAACACATTAAAAAAAGGCGCTCATTGGGAGGTAACCAATTGTTTCTTTTAATTGTTTGTTTGATTTCGTGTGATAGTTTAAATATGTTTTCCTTGAATTTGACTGATTTCGGTTTCAATTTTCGTTTTGATGATTTGTAGGTGTCCTTCTATCATGACATGCCCGCGTCATGACGTATGGAAGAGCTCACGGTCAGAATCGTCAGAAGGGATTCCTGCCCTCATGACGCGCGCGTCATAACGTATAGAAAGCTCACGATCAGAATCGTCAGAAAGGGTTTCAGTCCTCATGACGTGCCCGCGTCAAGTCCCATGAAGAGCTCATGATCAGAGAGCTCTCTTGCTCTCATGACGTGCCCGCGTCAAGTAACCTGAAAAGCTCTTCACTCCGTGCCTTCGTCACATGCCCACGTCACATTCGCGGGAAAGGTAAGTATTCAAAAAAAAACTCAGAACGATTATTGATTTCCTGTTAATCTCTACTTTTGAATTCCAAAAATAAATTTTGTTAATAATTAAAAAAAAGATGATATATGTAAAAAAAATTCCAAAAAAAAAAATTTTCAAGTAAGTAACAAGGAGAAAAAAAAAAGGGGAGTCTTTCCGTGAAAACAAAAAAAAATTTCTAAAATGAAAAAAAAAACGAAAAGCAAAAAAAAAAAAAAGCAGAAATACTATTTTCTTTTTCTTTTTCTTTCTTCCCTATTCTTTCTTTTCTTTCCTTTTCTTTTTTCTTCTTTCGAATTTGTGGTTCAAGGCATGTTGTGGAGAGCACAAGGCATATTTTCCTCAATTTGAACCATACTTCAGGAATTAAAATAATTTTTTCTTTTTTTATTTTTCTTTCAATTTATCTAATTTTTAATATTCATTTTTAAGATTTAAAATAATTATTGATTCAAAACTATTATGGAAGCAAATATATGGTTTTTATAAAATAATAAACAAAAACTTTTTTCTATTTTTTTGGATTGCTTCAAGGTTAATAAAATAAAAATATGTTCTTTTTTTAATGCAGCATGGCCTCAATAAGGGCATTTTCGGTATTAAGGGGATTTTTGTTAAATGTTTAATCATTCAAAGGGTGAGACCGTTATTTGGACAAATTACAGGGATTAATTGGTAATATGGTCAAATCTCAGGGAGGTAAATGTAATTAACCCTATCTTTAGTTATGATAATCCGCTTGCGATCATTACTGATTTCACAATCACTGTCTTTGGATACCATTCTATGAAACATTTCCAGTTTTTTTTTTTTTCTACTTGTAATTGAAGATAATTTCCACAGAACTAGTCAATAATAATCCACCATCAACTGTGAGAAAGCAAAACACCTACAAATCAATTGCAAGTGCGAAGGCTCTGATTTGGTGCTGAATTGGGCACTTATTCGTGCCAATTCAATCCTAAATTTTCCTTCCCATTCTTCAACCTTTCAATATCCAGTTACAAGAAGAACAAAAATAGTGAACAACCATCAATTCAGTTTTGGCATTTTTCCAACATGCTTGCTTGATTGCTATGACCGTAGGGCAGTTTCCTTTTTCCGTTAATCTAATTCCGTGATGGGTCAATAGAAAATTCATCCGAATTCAGTCTTTCTCACGTAAGAAGAATATATGATTACAAATGACCAAATAAATTAAAGAGGGACAAATTCAAGAAGACCAATAATATAAAAATTCCAAACATCCATAGGTTGCACACAATAATTCTCACAAATTTTAAGTTATAAAAAAAGAAATTTTGCAAAGGAGGGCCCTACTTCGATGCTGGCACCGTGACGATGAACTGCCAGATTGGGGTCTCTTTCATGTTTTGGTTTATCCTTTTTAGGGTTGTTAAAAATTAAATTTGGGGAGATAAGGTTGACGATTGATGAAATCTGATGAAGAAAGTTGTTTTTTCTATGGCATATTGAAGAATGGTGGTATATTCGATCAATGGTATCCAATAGTCTTGAAATAGAAACACAATTTTTTTTTTATTTAAAAGAGACTTTTGTTTGTTTTTTAAATTGATATGCATCACAAAGTGTATCCTTTTTAAGTTAATTTTGAGCAAACCTCTAATGAGTTCCTTTGTGAAAATTTCATTTAATAAATCCATATTGAAATGACAAAGCCTTCTATTCCGCAGTTAAGGATCATCATTTGTAACCTTAAGACACTAATCTTACTATCATCAATTTTTCAAGATATATCACATAAATATCATTGTATCTTTTGCCTTTGAATACAACATTAAAATTAGTATCAAGAATCAAATATTCATGCCTTTTAAACAATACATAAAGATATCTATCACATAATTGATTAACACTGAACGAATTATAGCTTAAGTTATGAACCAAAACAATATTTTGAATGAAAGTGTCACCGTTTTTGTCAATATCTCCTATTCAAATGGTTTTAACCTTCATGTCATCTCTAAAGGTGATCTTTTCACTACTTTCTAGCTTGAACTTGATGAATAGAGGTGGAATACCAGTCATGTGCCTTAAACACCTAATGAACCACTTTAATCCTTTAGTGGTGTTCTTCAAGTATACCTATATATAAAAATCAAGAAATGATTTTGGTACCTTTTTATTATTTGATCCGTAATTGTTAGTACAAAGATTTAATATCCACATGCTATTAGGAATACTAATTTCTTTATCCAAGTGGTTTTTTCCCAACAAATCTAGTGAATTATAAATAAGACATTATTAGGATGTTTTCTAGAGAGAGAGAGTGTAGAAAAATTTGTTAGGTTTTCTACAATGGTTTTACTTTTTTTTACGATTTGAGATTTCAATAATATTGTGAGTTGATTATTTTCTTCTCTCCTACACTTTTTTGAACGTCTATTTTATCCCTTCAATCCTATAACCCTACACACATTGGTTATTATTAAAACCCTAAAATTTAGGTTCCACAGATCTCAGATGGTAGAGGATTCCAATGACTAGAGAAAACTAGGAGTTCTGTACGGAACGGAATATTTCAATGAACATCTTTTTTAGGTGTTAATGGAGTTTATTATATGGCAAATTACACTTTACCCTGTGATTTAGTGTTTTTCTACATAACCCCCCTATAGTTTCAAAAGTTATACATAACTCCCTCATGATTTGGATTAAAGTGTCAAAGTGACGGAAATGAGTATTCATAACGGAGTCATTTAAAATGTCAAAATATCCTTATGTAAAATTGAAAATTATTTGTTAACCAAAGGGGGTTATGTGTATATTTTGAAAATCATAAGGGGGTTATATGATAAAGTATTAAACTATAAGTGAGTTATATAGTAAACTATAAAATCATACGGGGTTAGTGTATCATGTATTTATAAAGGTAACTTTGACGTTTTTAAAGATTCTGTTACGAATGATAATTTCCGTTACTTTGACACTTTAATTTAAATTGTGAGGAGGTTATATATAATTTTTGAAACTATAGAGAGATTATGTGAAAAATCGCTAAATGATAGGAGAGTAAAGTGTAATTTGCCCTTTATTATATAGTTAGTGTGTTTGGTAACTCTTTAGTGATTTGACAATGCATGTGTTGGGTTTAGTGGTCGTTTTGTCCTCTGCTACTTTCGGGTGAATTCTTGTTTTTTCAATAATATCGTGTTTTATCAAACAACATCGAATCAACAATAGCTATAAATATCTTGACTGATCATGCCGACCGTACTACTATCATCTTTCTGTCTGTATCATAGAGAGTGTTTGGATAGAATATTATTTGAAATGTTATTGAAAATAATTAATGTAACACTTTTTGTAATATAATGTATGTGAGATAAAAATATAATTAAAAATATAAAAAATAGATTGAGAAATATGTTTATGATACAAATAAAATATTATTTAACAAAATTGAGTTATCACGGCTCAAGTGGGGGCTATTGCCCCTACTTAAGTTTAAAAAAAAAAAACTCTATAAACAAATTTAGACACTCTCTAACTCAAAATCGACATTTCTGTCTTATTAAAATAGATAAATAGACAGGTATAGTGGCCTTCTCCTCATTTTCTTCTTATCTTCTAGTAGCGACATCCATGGACCAGATTGAAAATATAATGCTGTTTTTATGCGTTTTGCCGTTTACATGAGCTTTGATACCAAAATGACAAAACACATAGGCCCACCATTGGCTCCTTTTCAAGTATTCCTTAAAAACTTTCGAATTATCATCGCTAAATGAACAGGGCAAAGTTGGGATATTGAGCAGATTTCCTTCTTTTTTTCTAACATTTTCTTGACGAAAGCAGATTTCCTTCTTCAATGCTTTTTCTTTTTAGCTGATAAGACGTTTATGTTGAAAAATTGCTATTGCTACTGATCGAGATGCGGCGCGACAAATAGGTTGGGAAGGAGGTAATAATAATTAGTACGTGCTCCAATGCAAACACATGTGAGTAGACACGGAAATAACTATTTTATTGAGTCTCAAATATTCAGCGAATTTCTAGAAATAATACTAAATTTAGAAAATTTTCTCCACTTAGAGTTGCCGTATTTTTCAAATGTAGCAACAACAAAACAGTATTTTTATTTTGAATTATTTTTTGGTGTCACAAATGCGGCGACAATTAAAGAGTATTTTTTTGAATTATTTTTTGGTGTCAGAATGACTAAAATTTTTTATTTTTTTATACATCTTCGCGGCGACTGTGAAAATGACCATTTGGATGCGGCGACACCAAGATGTGAGAAGTCTTAACCGTCAAGTTTCTTTATATTAGATCTAAATTTTATCAGATTTGTTGTTGAAGCTGAGATTTCTTAGATCTATCTCGTCGGATCTCACTTTAACATTAGGCTTAAATCACTTCATTAGCATATCTCGGAGGAAGCAAACGG